CCTCTATCAACACTTGCATCATCAAGTAAAATAATCTCATGGATTAATTTCCATGGTGTTCTATTAATAATACTAACAAGTGTTCTTAATAATGTTGAATTTCCTTCATTATGAAAAACAATAATAATTGATACAGTCGGTAATGGACCATTAAATCTTGAATGAGCTTTACAACTAAATTTATTTTACTATTTTGTTTTAAATAAAAACCAACAAAACAAATCCTACTGTTCATTTCTAATATCAGGCATAGCACGATTTAATGCAATTTGATCACTAACAGCAATATCAAACATATTTTCTGAAAAACGTCGTTTTGATTCTTCTTCAAGTTGTGGAGGTGGAAGATAAGCTTCACCCATTTCTCCTGGCCAATTTGATGGATTTGGATTTTTTTGTGAAACTAAAATTTAATTCGGTTTTTTTTTAATTTAGAAAAAAAAAATGTAAAATTCTTTTAACATTGATCAGGAACTTGATATAGTTGTTCATCATTTGAACATTGACCATTACTTTGACATGTTTCTTGTTCATACGAATCTTTAAATTTAATTTTTACAACATTTTCTTTTACCATATTTTCAACGAACTGCTTTGGTTGACTTTCTATTTATAATTATATGAAAATATTTTAAAACAATACAGAAAAAGAAAAAAAAACATAAAACAAACTTGGAGAAGTTATAAAATTTTGTTCAGGTTGATAGGAATCCGAACAAAAACGAGTTAAAACTTGACCAATACCACAAAATGCACCTAGAAATGAGGTGTTTTTTTTTTAAAGTTTAATTAATTAGTTTTTCTTTTGTTCAAAAATAAATATTCTTTTTACTTTTAATAAGATTATATTGTGAACAATGTTTTGATGAATTATATTGATTTGCAATAAGAAGAATCGATAAAAGAATAATTATCCATACTAATGATGTTAATATTATTGTATGAAGTTTTTCATGAGAGAAAAATCTTGATTCAAATCGACGATTTGAATTTGGTGACATTGTTTCTTTTGAAGTAATTCGACTGATTAAGGATGGTGATGGTGATGATGATGATTGAGCTCCTCCTCCACTTCTTTTTTTCATGATAAGAACAAAATTTTTTTCTTTGCTATCTTATTGGAGAAAATGCATTATTAGAATAAGGAGAACAACCTTAAAACAAAAAGGAAAATAAATCCTTATTAAAAAAAAAAAAAAAAAATAATAATACTATTTTATGAAATAAAATTTGTTCCAATCAAAATATTACAAAACATCTTAATTAGATTTATTGTTCCACAGCGCCATCTTCTGCTTTTCTTTGGAATAGTAAATTTATATTTTCATTCACAATAAAAAGGCAATTATTTTTAATAGGAATCACAATCAAAGTATCACATGTAGACTCCTGCGTGACCACGATTTTTCAGGCACGTCACGTCACGGTCACGTTCATAGTCACGAAGATTTTTCGAAACTAGTTACGATTACGTCACGGTCACGTTCATAGTCACGAAGATTTTTTCGAAACTAGTCACGATCACGTCACGGCCACGGAAATTTTGGATTACTAGCTGGATTTTTGTGCTGCAAAATCAAGATTTAAATTGATTTCGTAGATTTTCCTTGTAACAAAACAAAGAAAACCCATAAATCAATTAAAATCTTTAATTTTTTTTCACAAAAATCACACTTTTAATATCAAAAATTTTCACTATTAAGTCACGGTCACGATCCCAGTCACGCCAATTTTTCGAAAACTAGTCACGGTCACAAGATGCCGTGACCGTGACCATTTTGCAGAAGTCTAATCACATGGAATTTCGTTTATCAATGCAAATTACATGCCAAACTAGCGGAATGAGCTAGAGCCCATCGGATAGGTCTCGAACTCGAACCCGGGTCCAAAAATGTCTTGTTGATTGAGTCCGGGTGTGGGCCTGACTTCATGCGTACTACTGTGACAAAAAGAGCCAATTATAAGTTGATTCTTATAAGATCATGATCGAGATTGCTTCAGAATTGTTGAGGATGTATTTCTGAAGGATTATCAGATGCGAATTAAATAAATTTCATTAAGTATCAAGAGTACAATTCGGGACCGGATCCGAGCCCAAAAAAGTTTAATCAACTGAGTCCGGGTTCGAATCCAAAATTTTTGGACCCGACGGATTCTGTTGGGCGCCGCTCTATCACCAGAAGAAAGAAAATCATTGACACTATATTTCATGGATCTTATCATCCACGATCTTCCGGTTACACTACTATGCCAAACTTAACAATCTTTTCTTCTATGAGTCACTTTTCATTGTATTGATTATGTAACAAAGTATTAAATACAGAAATTTCTCAATGTCATGACATCTTTGAGTATTTTGCTTCTGTTTGAATTATCTATTATTAGAAATATTGAATCGAAAACTTCTCAATGCAAATTTCTTCATTATGATACGAATGAAATCATAGAAGTATGTCACACTTTTGTTTGTATTATCATCTTAGTGAAAGAATGATCTACATTTACTTTATCTTTAAGCAAAACTTTCGCTCATTAATGAAGAATATTGATTAGTGTTTCTATGTTTTATAATAAAATGTCGCATATGTTTCAAGCAAAAAAATGAGAAATTCCTAGCGGCGGAAGGGCAATGAACCCTCCTCTCCTTCTCTTGCTTTTTAG